CTGGATATCTTGGGGTTTGTTTTGCTGATGTAATTAATACTCATGAGGGAAGTGACACTTGCAAGTATAAACTGTGATTTAATTTTACTGGCCAGTTCTTCTCCCTCTGCTATTGCAATCTTCCAGTCATTGCACAAAATACCCCAGGTAATCACAAATAGGCACTTACAGTTAGTTTAGGTCACTTGTGCAATGGATGTGAAGGAAATGGAGCAAAACAACATAGAGGGAAATGACAGTTTTGAACTCTACAAGTAGCACACCCATGGTACAGAAGTTCTTTACTGGCCTTTGTAAATTTCCAATTTTATTTAATAAAGTAGAAATTGAATAGTCTTAGACCACCCCTATAAAATGTGTTTAAGTTACCATAGGTTTTGCAGGTTTTAGCCACAAAGATGGGATGTTGAAGTGAATCAGGCAGCAAAATCCTAGTTTTTGAGCATTTGGAACTATCATGGATTGTACTAATACGCCACCAGATTCTCCTACTTCTCAGCATTAACAAAATTACACCAAAGAACCCGGGATGAATTTTAATTAAATTATTGTTTTATTTATTTTCTTTTGAGGACTGGATGGGACTCCCTTTGGAGCCTGTATAACTCAGATGTTTAATTTATCTGAAGGTCAGTGATGAGCAGATGTGCAGCACTGACTCTCTCCTGCCGAGCAGCTGAATCCCTCCTTTCACTGCTCTTTCTGGCCCAGGAGCAAGAGATTGGAAGTGCAAACAAAACCTGGCTCCTCCCTCAAGGCAGTGCAGAGCACTACCACTTAGCCACTGGGCTGGCCCTGATCAATTATTTTAAGCCTTATTTATTTCAAAATCGTTTTTCTCTATACTGGAGGCATTTCAGTCGATTGCAGTGAAATTTAGGATATAATGGCTACAGTCTAGAATTCAAAACCAGCAAAAGAAACTTTTCTCACTCTGGTTTAAAAAAAAAAAAAGACATGTCTGTCTGTCTCTTTTTCTCTCTTTGTGGGTGTTTGAGCCCCTCATCTGTTTTTCACTGCCGTTCATTGTACTGGTGTAAACAAAACTTTCATATTAAAATAAAAGGATGTGTGGGCAATGGTTGGCTTCTGTGAGAGTGGAAAATAGATAAAACCAGGACAGGTATTTTCATAAACCAGTTGGAGACAACTAATAATTATTTGTTCTCTTCCTCAGTCCTTCCCTTCCATGAGAAAATTTACTGTTTGTGTAAAAATTCAAAACGTTGATGTTGGTGACTTTTTTTCAGCATATGTTTTTGTACCTGGTTTATCCATGCTTGGCTTTTCATTAGATCTTGTACTGCTGAAGGCTGAGCTGCTAACCAGGTTTATAACATGTATGTACCATCACTTTGTTTACCTGAGTCTTTTTAATTTGAATAAAAATAGTTTGCAAAGTGTTTTGGATTAACCAGGTTTGAGTGTTCCATTAAGACTTCTGTTAGGATTTTATTTCAAGTAATTCTGGCTGTAGCTGATCCAGATGTTCTCAAGTCCTTGGTACATGTGTGCTTGTGTGTGGATAAAATATCCTTTTCCTATTGTCCTGTGTATTTTGAAGTGTTCCTGTAGGTGATAAGAACAGTGGTGTTGGAAACTGAGCCATCACGAGCATGAACAGTGAACCTTGAAAAATATCTGAAGCATTGGGAATCAGCTGAGTGGAGGTGGTAAGATTCAGTCAGTCCCAGATGCCTGCTTATTAATTGGTTTGAAAATAAGCAGCAAGCCTTAATTTCATATGAAAGCTAACATGGTTTAGGACTGTCTTCCATGTAGCTGTTTAATAGAGGAAATTAGATGAGTAACATGGAAAAAGCATCTTTAACACAACTCAATTAGAACCAAGGATAGAAATTTTCTGTACAAACTGCAAGAAAAATTAAGTGATAGGAATCTCTCAAGGTGCCTGGCATAAAATTTACAGACAGCTATTTAAACAGTCAGAACACAGCATTACTCAATTAACACACAGCCATGTTCTCAGCCTGAGGGATAAATGCTGCCTTTCATACAGGCTGCCAGCTTCACAACACTTCTACCCTTCTGTTGCAGTTGCCCAGAGGAAACTAATTCTAATCATCCTCCACATCTTATTTGTTCAGTCTGAGATACTAAAGATCATAAATGTATGTAGCTCCCTCTTAGCTACAAGTGCACAAAATTGAAGTTTCAGAATGTCTGGGCACTGAACATTGTGTGAGCTCTGGTTCAGTGAAATTTTGATTCATAAAATGATACCTTTTATTAATTTTGCCAACTGCATTTGCCAGTGAGTCTAATTTGACCCTCATCTTTGATATAAAGCACCAGCATCCAGTACTGATTTCAGGAAGTTCCTCAGGAACAGCATTCATCCCACCAGTGCTGGGAAGATTTTTTTTTTTTCCCCCTTTCTCTGAAGGAGCTGGGGATGGCCAGGAGCAGAGTGCAGCTGCAGTTTGGATCTGTGTATTAAGTCCAAAGTGAAAGCATTCCTCCACTGATGACAAGAAGAGTTTTGCACCAAGGAAAAATTCCCCAATACATCAGATGGCTGTTACTTCCTTTTGCTGCTTTTGAAAAGCTTGGACAAAACCGCTGCAGCCCTGTGCCAGGAAGGAGTGCAGGCTGGGACAACCATCCCTCCTTGACCATAACTTCTTTCAGCTCTTCCCTGGCTCACCACAGGTTTTTCAGCAGATTGCTGCATCCTTGTGTGCACAGCTGCAGGGGAATGATCAACAGTCCATTTTTTCCACAGAATCATTCTGGACTGGTGGTGGAGTTGTCTCCTCTCAAATGCTGAAGTGGTGAGCAGCACTGCTTGTGTGTAGGTATCACTCTTTGTTCCCAGGTGACTTTTTACTGCTGCTACCTTACTGAGTTGAATTTTTCCATGCTTGGTATCGATCTTGCCCTGACTCCCACAGTTTGGAAAGCTTGCAGCAGGATTGCTTTGCTGAGTCTCACCCAGAAGCTGTTGCTGTGGCCATTGCAGAACACATGAAAATGCTGTTGGTGGGTGAGAGCTGTGCTCCAGGTGGACACCAGCTGAATTCCCTGCAGAAGGGAGGGATGTGCTCAGCCCTGGAGCTGGCAGGGGCTGGCAGGGCTAGAAGTGAAAGCTGTGACCCTGGCTCACTCCAGCAGCCTGGAACAGCCACATGGTGTTGCCTGAGTGCCGAGCCAAAGGAGAGCTCTTGCTTCCTCCCTGTTCACTTTGCTACAGCAGATGGATGGGGGAGCTGGAGGATGGGAGGGAGACAGGGACATGAGAGTCAGACAGTAGTGGGGAAGGCAAAGAGCACAGTTAGGAGTCAGCAGGAATAAAACTGCAAAACCAAATGAAGGCTTTAGTTGTTGAAGATGGGGTGTAGTTTAAAACTGATACTAAATCCCTGAGTGTGCTCAGCTGTGGAATGGGCTGGAATTTTGGAATGGGGAATTGCAGCTATTCTGATTTCCTGCATTAATGAGAGACTGGCAAAATCTAAATATGCCAAAGGGTCAGCACTAGCAAACACACTGAGGGTTGGAGGTTGCAGCTCTGATTTCTAAATGTCAAACTTCATATTCTTGACATTTATTCTGTCATAACAGCTCTGTGTTGCCTGAAGTGGTTCGATGCCAACACAGAGGATTTTATTCCTGCAGCGGTCAGTGACACGGAACTCCCTGACACCAGACATCTTGTGAGTGACTGCAGCCTCCCTCCCTCTCTGTTTACCTGGCTGGAGACATCCCAGAGATCTTCCAGATGTGCCTGGCGCTCTCAGCTGCTAATGGGAAACAGTCACTGCAAAACAAGCAAGAGGTCTGAAGTGAGAACTGGGCTTGGCTCATGCTGTCTGTGGAACACTGCTACTATTGCAGGAGTGCTTCAGGGAAGCCACAGGAAGTTTTCACAAAAGCTCCCGAGTCCTGGGAAATAACTAGGGTACAGGGCTCTTGCTTAAAAAAAACCCCAAACCCAGATATTGAAAAACTTACTTGTTTTATGACAACAGAGCACAAGAGAGTTTCAAAAAGCTCAAGAAATAAAATCAGATGGAGCTAAAGCTCAGCAGTTTTCAAAATCTGGCTTTTTTATTGTTGCTTTGTTCTTTACTGCTATAGTCAGGGTTGACTTCAGCATGATGGTCTGTGACCATCTGCAAAAAGCAGCCTGTTCACGAGTTTTGGGCTCTGCCTTGGAACTAAACTCAAAGGTTCTTATTCTGAAATAGAGGCTTTCCTCAAGATATTCACTTGCTGCTCAGTCAAAATATGCAGTGACACAGTCACATCTCTAATCCTGTCAGTTTTTATCCCTTGAAAACACAAGTAGCACTAATCCTCCAGATCAAGTCCTTGGAAGGCACAACACGAAGGTTCCCCTGTGTTTGCAAGTGGGGAACCTGCACCTTGACCTCTGCAGAGCTGCCCCTGTCTCCAAGTTGAAGACTTACAAAGGCTGGCAGGAGGCAGCACAGGAACCCCTGCTAGTGCATGAACTTCCTCGGGCTTGATTTCAGGCTGACCTTAAGAATTGGCTTCTTTGTTGCACCTTCAGCCTGCACCCCTCCCCTCAGAAATTAAACAATTGTATCAAAGTAGGATCCTCGAAGATTACACTGCAGGGAGTAAACAGTGCTGGGACGCAGCAGCCAGCCCTGTTTTCCTGCCCTGGGGCCAGGGTTCCCACCCCAGGACTCAGGGGTGCCAGGACTGACACTGCACATTGCTCTGGTCCCTGTCAGACCGGGGCAGCACAGCCCAAACACACGGGTCACTCTCCAGACACTGTGGGCTGAGCAAACACTGAGCAGTAAATCTGTGCTCTCTTTATCCAGTTAAAATTGTGCCACACTGCAAAGAAAACAAATCAGCTGCCAGAGCAGTTCCTGTAAGTCCAAAAGAAACTAACTCAAAATTACTATTTCCATTATGCTGAGATGGATGCACCCTGTAATGTTTCTTTCCCACTGGTCTTGTCACAAGGGGGGTGTTTCACCAAGCAAACAAAACAACAGCCAGACTGTTTACTCAGTTTACTTTATTTAAAAGCACTAAGCAAACATTAAATTAGTGGCAGAGGCCCAAATACAATGAAATTTTCACTTCATTTAAATACAAATATTACAGATATGGAAGAACCATCTGAGTGCATTACACACACGTGTGGATCACAGTTCATCTTGCAGAGCCAACATCTTCCCCCACCTTCAACGTGGCAGTGCTGCTGCTTTGGCACTTGGACAGTTGAAGGACTCAGGAGCTCCCCCTTGAAGAGTTTCAGCTAAAATTCCCCTTTCTCCATCCTTGCCTCGTACAGTCTTTCAGATTGTTTCCTACGGTAGACATCATCTGCAGAAAAAGATGTTTTATGTTAGAGTTTCCCCAGCGCAAGTTAGTGTTAAATGCATGAATCCTGTCATCTCTTTTTAAATGCTTCAATCAAAACTTCTCTTGCAGATGCTGACTGACAGGCAACTGGAAATTCAAGCCAACAGAAATCCTTATTACCACTTAAAATAGCTCAGATTCTCTCCCATATAGGCTAAGTTCTTCCCATCGGTCCCAGTGAAATGGTTTTCTAGGAAAACTAAGTTTCCAATGTGAAACAGTTGTTTCTTGTCTACTTTCCCATGAGGGTAATTAAAATTACAAATGCCCTGACAAGCTGAAGAGAAATTAAATTATAGGCATGTAGTCAATGCCTGAGGGCTTCCAGCCTGACTTCAGTATTTTAGTCTTTTTTATATAAACAAAGCACAGGAATATTCCCACCTCCATGGTCTTCCCAGTTATTCTTCCTGCCTCCCTGCTCCCTAATACTACATACAGTTGAGCAGATCCCTTCAGTGAAATACACAAAAATTTCTAGCAGGGTTTATTAAAGGGAGGAATGTCACATTAGAAATAAATGCTGTGACTTACAGAAACTGAACGCCATTAGCCAAATTCTCTTGAGCCGTTTTCATACTTATTTTTTAAATTGTAGAAGTCACATTTCAGATAATGCCACACCTCTGCTGAAATGCTGGCAAACCTCATGAGTCTTTTCCAATCACCACGGAATGGTTTGATTTGAGAGGGACCCTGAAGATCACCCCGTTCCATGCCCCTGCCAAGGACAGGGACACTTTCTGCCATTCCAGTTTTCTCGAGCCCCATCCAACTGGCCTTGGACCCTTCCAGGGGCGGGGCAGCCACAGCTTCCCTGGGCACCCTGTGACAGCGCCTCGCAATCCTCAGAGGAAATTTTTTCCCTAACATCCAATCTAAATGTACCCTCTTTCAATTTTATTCAGTACTCTAAAGGCAGGATTTGTGTTTCTGCGGGGAGGCAGAGCCTGCAGTGAGCGCTGTGTGGCGGGAGCAGCCGGAGCCTCCCGGGCCCGCTCACCCCACTCACAGAAGGTCTCTTTGCCGATGCGGACGTTGATCATGAACCACTCCATGGCTCCGCCGAGCACAAAGAAGAAGGGCAGGAACCTGTAAAAGCCAAAGCGCCGCTCCCCGGGCACCAGCTTCAAAAGGCGCTTCACCCTCTCGCTGACCAGCATGGCCGGGCGGCACCGGCGCCTTCGCCCTTCCCGGCTGGAGGAGAGAACAGAGGGGGGCGTGTGAGCGGCGGCACGGGACGTGCCGCAGTCACACCGCGACCGCGACCGCGGCCCCAGCCCGGCGGGCCCGGCCGAGCCCCGCGGCCATGGCGGCCCCGCCGCCCCCTCCCCTGAGGCGGGAACGCGCAGCCAATCAGGGCCGCGCCCGCCGCGCGCGACCCCGCGCCGCTCACCTCCCACGCGAGGGCCCCGCGCGCGGCCGGACGGAAGGACGCGCCGAGCGCCACGTGACCCCCCCACAGCAGCGCCTCGCCTGATTGGGCTGGGCGGGGCGGGGGCGGGGCCTGGCGTGAGGGACCCGCGAGGCCCCAGCCCCGCCCACCGAGCCCGGGCCGGCCCCTGTGGGCGGGGCGCGGCCCCGAGCCCGAGCCCCGGGGATTGGCGCGGTCCGGTGCCGCCGCGGGCCGGCAGCGCGGCGAGCAGCCCCGGCTGAGTGAGTGCGGAGCCCCGAGGCGCGGCGTGCGGCGGGACCATGGCGGCGCTGGGCTCGGCGGCGCTGCGGAGGGGCGGCGGCGCGGCCCCCCGGCTCCTCGCCGTGGCTGTGTCCTGCCAGAGCTGCCGGCACAAAGCCACCGGGGACGGTGGACACGGGCAGCCCCGGGAGCAGCACCCGGCGGCCCCCGGCAGAGTCGGCGGCCAGCCCGTCCCGGCCGAGGGCGCGGACACCAAGACCTACCTGTGGGCCAGGTACCACGAGATGAAGAAGCTGGTCTACGGTAAGGAGCTGCCACGTCCTGCCGGGGCCGGCCTCTCCATTCTTTCTTCCCCCTCTCCTTTCTCCTCGTTGCATCTCGGTGCCTTTCCCCGCCCCGCAGCCCCGGGGATGTGCCCGCGCTGTGCAGATGCCGGGTTAGGAGCCTTTCTCCCGGCGGTGCCATCCACATCTTCAGTCGCCCGCGGCTCTCTGGGATGGTTTTATTTCATTGAAATCTGGTCTTGATCTTCCTCTCCCCATCCTGGGCTTCCTTCTGTGCAGCCTCCCCGCCTGGACTCAGCAGGGCATGAAGGGTAAATGGGACTTTTCATAACTAGCCATCGTCGGCATTGTCATGGCAAATGGTCTGAATGAAGGGCTTGTTGCCTTTTTCTCCAGTTTGCCGCACGGAATCGCGTTAGACCTGGACAAATAGATAGCGGTGCTGAGTGAAGGGGTGACGAGTCCAAGTCCCCCCTGGCACAAGGGTGAGCCTGGAGAACACTGATGCTGCAGCTCCTGGATGGGTCCTGGTCCCGAGCTCAGTTTGTGTTCCACGTGTCACACCTTTTGCTCATGAGTGCGTTTTTGCTTCTCTGACCAAGAAGTTACCTGGCTCTGTCGGGTACTTTGAAATCCTGCCAAGCAAGGAGAAAACTCAGACTGCTCGCCAAGTCTGTCTGTGTGTAAAACAGGATTGTGGTCTTTTTGCCAGCAGCAGACCTCCCCTGTATTAAACTCTCCTAAAAATAGCTTTAATGACATGAGGGCAGGGAACTTTTTCCTGTTGGTTTCTTGGTTCTTGGAATGTTGAAGGTAAGCACTGTAGAGAGCTAGGAAGTGAATTTGTGCCTGCTCTTACAGAACTCTCGGTTAGCTTTTGTTTACTTAAGGGCTTGGATAAGGACAGCAGTCAGCCCTAGGCATCTGGAAGAACTTTCTCCCTGTTCTGAGATCGACAAGGTCTGTCATTCCTTCCTCCCCATCTTCCAGTCCACTGGATTTGACATCAAATCTCGAGTTCTTCATGATGCACAAATGTAAAGGAATTGGGTGCTGATCCATTAGGTGCTCAGGCTGCTGCATTCCAGGGTGAGAGCTCCTTTCCCAGCGCTGTTGAAGGCAGTACAGGATGCTGACAGAGGACTGGGCTTTGGTAATACCCTTCAAGACTGAGTTGTGGTTTTAGCCCCACTGCTTGAAAGAAATTCCAGTTTGCAATGCTTGTATTGCTGTTTGGAGCTTGCTATTCTCAAAGGCATTATTTTCTTTTCCATAATGGGATTGAAACCATAAATGCAAATGTGTGTTAGTAGGCTGTGTCACGGTCTCTTGGCAGAATGCTTGGTTTGCTACGTGAGATTGTGAAGTTTGTGTTCACATAACTCTGTTGTGATGCAAGAGATGCAGTTTTTAATTGAGGTGGAGCAGTAATCACCAGGAGTAAATGCCAAATGAAGTCAGGTGATGTAGCCCAAGTGTTACAGAGCAGACTCTTCACAAACCTTCAGGTAGCCATCAGATATGTTGAATAAGGCCCTCGTTTGTTAAAAGAGTATCTCCCCAAACTAAAGTTTCAAGACTGTGCTGTTATTCAAATCTTGTCAGGAAGAGACAGAGTTGGTCCAAGTTGGTTTAAATTGTTCCTTTGGTGACTGAAGAGTTGTGCAGAATGTGGCATCAGTCTGTTCCTTTGTGCTTGGTTTCTGACTCTGCTGTGAAGGTGAATTCTGACTGATTTCTGACTCTGGTCTGTGCTTGGCGTCTCAGTATTGCCCAGCACTGAGTTCGGGCAGACTCCTGTGCCTCCTTCTCCTTCCGCCTCTGAAACGCCACCTTTGTGCAGTCCCTTGTCCTGTGTTGTCAGTGATTGCCTCTGCTTTGGAGAGGTCTCTGCCAGGAGAATTCATGGTGTGTTTTCAGACCAGCCCTTGCTCAGCACCAGATCCATGGAGCACGGTTGCATTTTTGCACCATAAATGCTGACTGAGTTGGGCAGGGCAGGATGTGCAGGACGAGTTTCTGTGCAGTGGAGCTCAGTGGTGGTGCAGGTTTGGGGCCAGAGGAGAGGCACAAGGAGTTCTCAACTCTGTATAAAGACATCTGTGCTCTGCCAGGCTGGAGTGGGATGGTACAAATGACAGCACAATGTAGCTACACAGAGAGTGTCTCTAAAACTTCCTCTCAGCGTTGACTCAAGAGAAACCATTCTCTTCATTATCCCTGCTTCCTATTGCAACACTGACTCTTATGACCAAATTTCATTACCTGTGAAAACTTGAGGCTAAAAATTTGAGACAGTGTGCGTGCTTTTTTTTTTCTTCTGCCAAAAGGAAAAGTACATTCACATTAGTCAGAGGGATGGAGTTGAGCAAGACTTGCTGTTTTCTGATCTGATAAATGTCAAGGAAGGCTGATAAGTTCTCTCAGTAAGCTTTGAAGTCTTGCACTCTAGGAAACATCAGGACAGCCAAGCCAGTGACTCTTTGGCTATAAGCAAGTGTTTGTTTGTTCCTAGGTGTCCCAAATCTGTAAACAGTGGCTACACTGACTCAGCTTTCTTAGGGAACTTTACAATATCTGCAAACAAACTTCTTGCCTCTGCATGACAAGTTTGAGCAGGGTTAAATATGAGAACAGCCAGAACTGGAAGAGTGACCAGTTATGTAAATTTCTCAATTTTGCTTTCTTGGATATGACCCATTTTTTCTTGTGAAGAACTCTTGTAGCATTTCTCTAGTGCCTTTTTATCTTTTAAAAATGTAATTTTGGAATGAAATTATATTTTTAATATTACTTTTAATTAATGTAATTTCATTGGTGAGAAATCCCAAAATATTTAGGCCTAATAGCATAAATCCAAGGTCTTTTAACATGGTTCCTCTGAAATTAAATGGTCTTTAGATAATATTTTTCCCTTCCTATCCTATTGGTAGAAGGATCTGCTTTGGCTGGTGGGAGTGCTTTGCAGGAAATGGCACAAAACAACACTTCAAAAGGATAAAGGGGTAATTAGAAGGAAGGAAAACTGGCAGCCTGTCTTTAGAAAGCAACTTAGTGTGAACAAGGGAAACTTTTTGATTCATGAAGAATGTGGAGGATGATGGCCATCTGCTTCTCTGTACCCTTCTTTTCCCTGCTTGTCTTATGAAGAAATTAGTGCAGATGTCTGCTGGGTTGAACTTCTGGGAGTACAAAGGGTGTGAGACATGCGGGTGAGTTGCCTTGTTTGTGTATTATTCCTCACTAACATGCTGGGTCTGAGGCTGAGAGAACGGGAGCGTTTCCTGCAGGATGCTGTTGGCACCCCGGGAGCTCGGAAAAGCAGGAGACGTGCTTGGCACCTCCTGCCCGCAGCGTTTTTCACATCAGAAGGGGCCAGATGGTGTCTCTAGTGTCTGCTCACAGCTAATTACCTGCTTTTGTTTCCATCTCTGCTCTCCTGTTGGGGATTGAGGGTTATTGCTTTCTAACAATGTGGGCTATTGCCTGGGAAGAGACACCTGTACCCTCATGGAGACGCTGATTTAAGCAGCTGTCCAGGTTCTCACAGTGGGAAAATGAAGGAGATGTTGTGTGTTTGCTTTGCATTTACACCCAGGTGTAAGAGATGCACGAGATCAAACACGCTTTCTTGTGGGCTGCCTTTGCTGCTGAATTTCATCGTGTGCCGTGGACATGCAGGCACTTCCCTAAAATCTGTCGGAGTTGCAAACAAACAGGAGCAAATTGTGCAAGCAGGCAGATTCCTGGGGCTGCATCCAGTGCAAGTGCAACTTTGTCCACACCATCCTCCCATGTGCTCACACTGCTTCTCCCTCAGATCAGACTTCCTGGGTGAAGTGCTGAGTAGGCAGTGACTAACTGATATTGTCTGCCTTTCTAGTTAGGACCCAGACAGTAAGAGTAGTGGGATTATTATTCTTTTTTAATAACCAAAACTAAAACAATAACAAATTTTGTTTTGTGTGGTTGTTTTCTTTAATTTATCATATCTGTCCAGCAATTTGTTATGGTGTCTTGGCAAAGAAGAAAAGCAAAAACTATCGTTCTTGAAAAATGGCATCTTCGTGAGCTTCTGGTGGGTGTCTGTTTGTTTTGATTTGACAATTGCCAGGAAATCTGAGACAAAGATCCCTGGCAGATTACGTGCAGAGCCTCAGCAGAGCAGCAGCGCCCAAGCCTGCAGCCCAGGATTTGATTAAGCACTAAGGATTGGTAACCACCCAGGAGGATATCTTTGAAAAACATGTAAACAAAACACCACAAAAAAGCAAAGCAAACCCCCAAACAAACACAATGAAACCAAGCTTCTTGAAGCCTGGCTCAGTTACCCTGAGGCATGTTTGGACTCTTGTATTGAAACTGATTTTTCGTGTGCTCCCAGGTTGTCTCTTTTCCCTGCTGTAGTTGAAACCTGCATGGAGACTGCATGAGTTTGAGGAGATGGAGACCTGCAGCTTTGTTGAGGAGGGTGCTGCAAAAGGACATTTACACTGAGACAAATGTGCATCATGAATCTCTAGACTGAACCACAGAGATTTCCTCCTTTCCAGAAGAGCAGTGACTTTGAAGTTACTGTAAATTCAAGATGTAGGATGATGGGGTGGACAGAGCAAGCTGCAAGTTGTGAGTGGTGTGGAATAGGAAACACAACAAGGAGATGTGTGGTGCTTGGGGAAGTGAACATAGGGAACACATTGTGTATGAGCCAGTGGGTGTAAATCATTTTGGCTGGTGTGTGCATCCTTTTTCAGCCCTTAGGAGGTAAGAGAGAATATGCTGTGTAAGTAAGTGACAAAATGTGGGTGGGGAAAAATGACCTGGGCAAGAGACTGTCAGGGGACAGCAGAGAGGCTCTGTACTTTTGAGGCTGGCAGGGAGAAGCATTGCTTCACTCACTGGGTCTAAATGTACTTCATAAGTTGTGCTGTGGCACAGTAACTGCTTATGCTTCTGATCACAGATATAACTTGTTTGGTGAAGCTCAGACTGCTGTCTCCTTGTTACAAAATCCTACTGCTCCCTTCGTTTTTCCTGATATTTTTGCAAAAGTTGTGGCTGGCATGTGTGGTTGAATCTAGAAGATTCTCTTTTCTTTTGTGAAAAGAGAGGTGGGGTTCAGCCAATGGTATTTTGTGATGCTCTCAGGCTATCAAAATGTGTTGTCCTGAACATATTAGCAAAAGGGGAATGTTGGAAGACCTTGACCTCTCTGTAGGGACACTGTAGCAGCAAGTTGGGTGCATTTGTCATAAAAGGAAAAAAGTGCTTTAATAGAAGAGGAAAGCCCTGCACATTTCCCCTGAGATATGATTAAGGTTGTGTCATCATTATCCTTGTGAGGGAGAAAAATAACACCCAGCAAATCCCAGTGTAAGCCTAGAAAAAGGTCTTTCCACAAGTTGACTGGGGGTGAGGACAGGAAGTGTAACTGTTTATATATGGTGCAAAGAGCATTTATGATGGAAGTATGAAAGTTGTGATCATCTGAATGTTATTTACATTTCCCACCTTTTAAAATCTCAGTGGAAAGTACTTGGATTGCATCCTCTCTCCTAAGCCTCTTCCAGGAACTTTGCCACCAGCAGAGCACTGACAGAGAGCTTTTGTTCCTGGTGTGTAGCCAGTAAGTCAGCCCTCCTGCCTTCATACACTGCTTTATTTTCTAGTGATTCCTTGCCACATGATCTGGTGAATTGTATTTGAAGGCCAAATGGAAGTCAGTTAGGAGAGAAGGATGGGTATGTTTTGTAAAAGTGATTTTTTTTTCCCCTCAGAAAGAAACATTTAGAAATATTTGAATCTATTTCTTTGGTTACCTCTCTGAATTAGAGCTCACAAAAGAACTTCAGCCTTTTGCCTAAATTCTGTTATAATTCCAGACAAAGTCTTTATTGGGAAGGGCTGGTATCTCTTTCTAATAATGTATTTTTTGTCCTAGACACAGATGGAACTTGGTTTTATAGCAAGGAAGCAGTAAAGAACCAGGACAGGGGTCCTTGTTAAATGCCAAAAGTTAAGGTAGGAAAAGAAAAAATCCTACCCACTGGTGCTGAGTAGGATCTGGAAAATGCCTGCTCTTCTTCTGTCATTCAAAGAGAAAATTACCCATCTTTGAGGAGGGAGGAAATATCTCCTTCCCCTCTGTCCCCCAGTGTGGTTGTGACCAGGCAACCTACTACAAAGAACTATTTTTATTGCCCTTTCTTGCACGGGACAGTTCTCATGGAGCGGGAAGCCTGTGGGAAGATCTGTTCCTGCCTCTCCCTTTGCAGTGGAGTGGGAGCTCTCCTTTCTGGACTGGCTCTGGGAAAGGATTTATATACAGGTAGTTTAGCTGCTTGGTCACTTAACCCCATTTTCTCAGTGGTCTGGGGAGCAAAGTGTTATTCCCAAGCACCTTGAACAGTAGCTCTGCTTTGCAGTGACAAACCACATGCAAGGACTGAGCTGTGTCCACAGCTGTTTATCAGAGGAAAGCAGATCACTTGTTGCTATCAGCATTGCATGCTCCAGGAGCATAACTTAGTGTGGGATACTTTTTTACATGTAGGTGTTTGTACTTTGGTTTTTCCTGCCAATTAATACAAAAATTTTAAAAGTCCTAATGGTACTTGCAGGAGTTCTCTGTGAAGTCTTGTTGCCTCTGTGAGAAACAAAAAATGCCAAAAGACAAACCTCAAAATTTCTGATTTGGAGTAATCTAGACTTTTCCAAGAGCCTGTTTGCTTGTGCAAGTTCTGAGTGAGGGGTGTGCGTTTTTCTGCTGATTTATCACAGCTGCCTTTCACATTGAAGCCTGCAGAAACTGCAGCTGCTCTGAGATAGAAATTTGACACTTCAAAACCTCGGGTCTGCTTTGCTTCATGTAGGCCAGAGAGCAGGGGACATTGTTTTGCAGCTTCCTGACACAAAAGGTCGGTCTGACTGTGCAGATGGTTAGAGAGCATTATGTCCAGGTGCAGCCAGAGGTTTCACCGTGTGTTTTTTCACGGGGACATTATTTGAGTGAGCAAATGGCAGCAGCCTTCCACAGCAGCTCTGTGCTCTTTGCTGCTGCTGTGTGGCATTTCCAGCTGCTGTCAGGTCCAGTACAAAACGTCTAAACTTCAGTGATGCTCTCAGTTTCTCTAACTTCTCCCCTTTCCCTTCTTTTAGATCTCCTTCCACCAGGAGTCTGCAATCTCCTCAACCCCGCTGCCATCTATGCTAACAATGAGATCAGCCTGGGAGATGTGGAGATCTATGGCTTTGACTACGATTACACGTTGGCACAGTATTCTAATTTACTACACTCCATGATTTTCAACACTGCCAGAGACATCCTAATAGAACAATTCAAGGTAATGAGGTGCTAAGAGTTTCCACTCAATTAAGCTTGCTGCTGTCTTTGCAATGCCGGAGACATGCTTGTGCAGGCATTGTGCACACATGTCAATTACTTGATTTATTGAGATAAACTTAATATTTCACAATCTTTGATTGCAGAATTAATTTCTTTTGAGATTATTAACATGATGTACATTCCTGGGGTTTTATAAAAGTAGAGTGGGAGCCTTAGTGTAAAAAAGCCATGGTCAGCTGTACTCAACTATGGAAATAATGCCTACAGGATTGCTGGTTGGAGGTGCACATGGTGGCTAAACATAAATCATGGGCCAACACTGAAGCTGTGCAGGACTTGGAATGTGCTGGTCGATGGGATGTTGCCCTAGAGCATGTCCCAGAACAGACACCCTGTTTGCAATGGGTGACTGCTTATGCATTTTTTCTCATCCTGCCTTTCTGTTTAGAGGGGCTCTGCAGTGCCAATCTTTGCCAAATATATGCAAAGATTACAAGTGTCCTCACTGCCTCACTGAATATATGCTTTTTCACTACTGTCCCTTACATGAGAAAAACTAGTTTTGGGTATCCTGATCCCTTTGTCTTACTCCATTCATCCACTTTCTTTGCTGAAGGGACAAAATTAGGCAGGACAAAACAAGCTCAACAGGTGAAAGGATTTTGTTGATTATCCAGTGCTTATGCTCTAATGATGTCACTGTTTGTCTTCCCAGTATCCAGAAGGGCTTGGGAAGTATGACTACATTCCAGGGTTTGCCATACGTGGACTTCACTATGATGTTCAAAAGGTAAGCTGTACAAAGTTCACTCTCCTGGGCTTTGTTTTCCACTGTTATGTTTTTAGTGGAAATACTTTATGTCATTGCTTGCAATAACATCTATCAGCAAATGACCAGTGAGTCTGTCTGGCTGGGATTTTCACTGCTTGGGTTCTTCCCCAAGGAAAGATGTCTACTGTGCCAGCCTGGCTTCCAGCAGAATGGGACATTCTAGCAAAGGTCTCTGGTAAACAGCCTTGCCAGTTTAAAAGTCAATTCATTCCATGGGCTAATTAATAGAAAACTGAGCTTGTTTATGTGATCATTTCTGTCTTTCAGGAAATTTAAACAACAAAACTCAATCCTGCATCTACAAGTACTTGCCAGGAGCGGAGGCATAATGTCTTACTCTAATAATAGAAATGACTTGTCAGGAGAATGCTTTAGGAAGCCTTCCCCACCCCCCACCCCGAATAATAGGACTGCCTGGAATACGATCCAAGCTACTTGAGATGCATACTTCTTAAGAACACAGGCAAGCAGAGTGCAGGCATTAGCTTTAACCCTTTTCAGTGCTTTGGCTGGACTCCCTGAAAGCCTGATGCCCGGTGATGTCATGCTGGCTGCTGCAGCCAGGCAGTCAGGTGGGAGCACAGCAGAGAAAGTTGCTTCACTGAAGTAGCTTTCTCATATGTTGGGTTTGAGTGAATTCAGAGAAGTAGGCAGTGCCTGCTGGAATGTTTGTGCTGTCCTCCAGCAGGAGGGGAAAAAGAGAATGAAGGAAAAAAACGTAGAGATTTTCTGTCTTTTGTCCTAACTGTGGAGACAGCATGGCAGCAGACCACTCACGCCTCTGGCCTTACAAAGCAAGAAGTAGATCTGTGGGAAACTGAAGGTTCTTTCTCTGTTTAAATCTTTGGCTGCTATATCTGAGAAACACAGGCAAGTGGCCTTGCCAAGCAAAGCACTCTTTGAGTGAGTAGAAAGCAGAGAACTCTTTTCTAAGGATCAGAGTTTGCAAAAAATACAGAAATCTGGGTTATGCCTGTCTAAGTACAACTTTCAGCATATTTGCCTGCACTCCTCACAGATTACTGGGAGGTCTGCCCACAGTGTAACAAGATGCACTGATAAGGTATCCTGATGGAAGAAGTTCAATGCCACGTTCCTGTTGCAAGCTGTGGAGTGATGTGGGTTTACTGTGAGGCTGCTTTCCATGCCCCAAGACTTGTGTTACATCTTCAGAATGATGGATGGAGAAGGATGGCCCATGATTAGGGGAGTCTGATAGTAAAAATGCAGAGAAAGCTCTGTTACCAGCCTGGTGTGCTCCTGGACATCTTTCCTTCAATGTCTACTGGGAAGGGGAGAGCTCTTGTGTGAGGAAAATTACTGGTGCCACTATGCTCTGAACTAAAACTTGCCCACTTAGTTCTGCTTAAGATAAAGGTGGGGAGAAATAGATCTGTGCACACAAAGCTCCTTTGGATTTGTGTTTTCTTGAAGGGAGATAAGAATAGACTGTCTCGAGTCACAGAAATATTGTTTTTCCACTGCATCCCTGTCTACAAACTGGGGTGTAACAGACTTTGGCTCATAGAAGGGTGGTCTTTTGCCGGAGAGGCCAATAAAACATCACAGTATGAGTAAGTGTGTGTAAAAGTAGCTGGAGAATAAGTGCTGTCTAAAGTGCGTAGAAGTGGGATGCTCATACTGAACTTTAATTTCTGACTGTCATTTGTGTGGAACTTTAAACTTGAATAAGGTTTCAGTGTAAATTTTAACAATAACCCAATTCTAACAGTAAATATCTATTTCTTGTCACAGAGTCTTCTCATGAAGATTGATGCTTTCCATTATGTCCAGCTGGGGACTGCATATAGGTCTGTCAGTTCTGAAAATCATTTTCTAAATGCTTATATATGCAAAAGTGGATTTCTGCATCTCAGTGTACGTTCTTGGCATATGTTGTTCTGCTTCTTTCCTGAGTAGAGCACAGTCTTGTCTGGCTCATCCTGTTTGCTCTTGCTTCAAATGCTTACCTGGCATATAATTGCAATGAGTTATTTTTTCTCAAGCATTTCAAGCCAGGTGTGGGTGGGAAGACCTGGAGCTTTTTGTAATGGTTAATAGCACATCTGGTCACGTACGCTGCGTGGTGTTTTAGCTGCAGCTACAGCATGGCTGGGTTAACACCTGAGAGCAAACACAGCCAATAGGAAAGGGCTCTTCTGTATGTGGTTCACACATGGGCCTCTCTTTTCCAGGCAGGAGTTTGTCCCATCAGTGCTCTGCTGTGCCTTGGGGAGTAATCTGGGTGTGCAAATTATATCTTAAAGCAGACATGCCAATAAAGTAATAATGCTTCAGAATCTGGGCTCACTTTAGTTCTCCAAAAAGAGCTGGGTATGCTCTGGAGTAAGTAGCTGAAACAGTGCAGAGCAAATTTTTCTCTTATGAATTGTGAGACTGGAGACTGAGAGAACTCTTTTCTCCAAAGAGGAGTGGGGTTGGTGTGTAAGAAGTAGTAATTTATAAATATCAATAGCAAATCTCCTGTAAATCCTATGTTGTATTTCCTGAGCATGGAAGCCAATGTGGTTTTTTTCCTTGATCTCTGCCCTTTTGCTGTTAAGCTTCAGTTACAGTAAACACTCTAAGAATATTAAGAAGGGAGTTTCATAACCAGAGAGAATTGGCTTCTTTGAGTGCCAGCTTGGGGGGGTGAGGGGACCAGGGGTTTTTACTGCTCCGTATTTTACTTCAGCTTCATTAAGAGATTTTTAGTGAAAATACATTTTAATTTTAATTTTCCCTAGTGTCCTTTTGTAACTTATCTTTTCTGGAGCATCCTTCTAAACTTTCCTTTGCTGTTCTGCACAACTGAGGCAACATTTAACTTCTTAGATGCTGTGTCATAACTGAGTAGAAAAGGAGAAAGGGAAAGTTGCTGACTGCTTGAGCAAAGAGTCATTAAAATTGTGCAAGAGGCAAAACCTGCAGCAGTCAGATAACCTGATGTTATGAACTACACAGGTCAGCCATACTCTTGGTTTTGGTGTTTTTGAGAAAAACGGCCTTCTCTGTTGAATGGTCTCAGTCAAGATCTTGTTCTGCTTAGGAAAACTGAATAAGAAAGAAACCCTGTTTTCAGGAAGCCCTTTTTCTACTCTTTTTCATTAAGGGTGATGTATCTCATGGAAGCAACATCTCCAAACCAAGTTAGTTTCCCAGTGCTGCCCAAGTCAGGTCCCGGGGCTGATTTGGTGGGGCAGTCCTGTGAGCAAATTGACAGCAGACAGAGAGAAGCCTCTGGCTGTACTCTGCTGGAATGTGGATAAAGCCCCTCAATTAACTTGTAGGAGCAAATGAGGTATCTGAAGAATGTCTTTGGAAAGATTTTATGTGAATCTTTAGAGCTGTTGGACTCTCTGCCTGTCTCTTTTGAGCAGGAGGAATTTTTGAGTTTTAGGAAAGGGCCTGTTTGCCCTGTCCTGTTTTTCTCTACTGTTTGTAGCACTGCACGGACTGGTGATTATTGACAAACTGCATTGTTTTGTGTCTAGAGGGCTCAAACCGGTGCCTGATGAAGAGGTGATCGAACTCTACGGTGGTACACAGCACATCCCCCTGTACCAGATGAGTGACTTCTATGGCAAGGTATTGTAAGCCCTTGGCTGCTGGGATGCAGCAGCTCTTCGAACAGCTTGGAAAACAGAGGGAATTGTATGCACATGGAAATGACTGCAGCCTCCCTTGGAAAGGCTGGTCCCCAGTGAGCTCCAGTGTGTTTTTGTTCTAGTGAGAATATGCCCCAGAGGTTATTTAGCAGTTTAGCATCTGAAAGACATCTGCAAAGCATTTTTAAATACCAGGGCTATTGGCCTAGAGCTGAATGGCTTTGAAGACTGATAGGGAGATGTTCCCTGTTGTTCCTTGGCCAAATCCCGGCAGCCTGCAGTGCTCGTGTTTGCAGTGAGCTGTTGGGAGGAGGTGTCTGAGGGTAGCAGCAGTACGGTGCTTGCCATGCCTTTCTCTCTCTGGTTTTGGGTAGGGTTTTTTCCCTTCATGTTAAGGATCTCCTTCCACACTCCTTCAGAACTGCTCAGGGGATATTATTATGGTTGTAGTCCATGAGTGTAGGGGTAGTAAAATACTGACATTCTGTCTGTAGGAGCTTAAAAATCCTCTGGTTGCCTGAACCTAGAGGAAGTTAGGAGAGTTTTTTCTTCCTTGAGTGTCTCTTGTGGCACAGTGGCCAAGCAGGACCTTTCACATCCCTTCTCCCAGAACTGCTTTGTTTCTTGCCTTAGTTCCGGTGCCTTAGGGGAAGCTGGAAGGAGAAGGGCACACTTCCTCTGGTAATACCCCTGTGAGTCTGCTCTGTGAAGTCTCCAGCAAGGTCACTGCTTGATTTTTCTGTTTCTCTCTTGGGAACAATTAATCTGAGTGGTTGCTTTCTGGATAAGTATATACTCTGTTTATAGCTCAATGATGTTTCCAGCTTTGAAATAGGACATTTTTGTTTAGAATTTGATCTGTCTGTAAACTGCCCTCAATTGGCCTCCTCCTGTGCAACTCTCCTCACTCCTGCCAAACTTGAGATGATTTTGTCTTTCTTTTTAAATAACTGTAAACATGAAACCTGCTTCGAGTTGTGGCCTTCTGTAGGACCAGGTGCTTATGCTGAGGTGCCTTTCTGTGCTTTGCATGTACCAGGTGCTTTCTTCTTTCCTGTAGTTCGTATTGAAAAATTTGGCCACAGAAGTAGAGATATCAGCTTAGTCTTCGTGTGAAGAGGTGAATCTCCTCTCCTAGTAATGTAATAGACTCCATGAACTAATAGGTGGATCCCAAAAAGAACAAAAGTATTTACAATTCATACCATTTGCATTTAGCAATGTCTGCTCAACCTGTGGGGCGTATTTTCCCACATTAGTGAGAAAGATGAAAGAAGGGTTAAGATGACGGCTGGTGTGAAAGGTGCAGTGAACTGGTGAGGAGTGAGCCTTCAGCAGGGGTCTTTGACTTGTTCTCCTCAGTCTGCCGTGCTGATGTTGCTGTATGAGCAAAAGAAAGTTGCTAACAGGCAACAAGAGAAGTGGGACTGATAGGGCTGAAGTGTGTAAATACTTAAGTATTTACTTAAATACTTAAATAAATCCCTTAAGTGTTTTCCTGGTTCTCTGTTAGCAGGAGTGTATGGACAGCTGCCAGCATCCCAACACCTGCAGTAGGTGGGCACAGATCTTTCCCAAGGTTCAACACTGCAGCTGGTGTGCCTTTACATGTGGTGGCCTGTAATGAAGGTGGAGATCTCAAGGGTGTTGTAAAAAAAGCACATATAACATTCTGAAAGCACAGTCCAATTTTTGTCACAGCTCCTGTCACTATGTCTGCCTAAGGAAGTCAAGGCCATTAAACAGAATTGGGAGAAGTGGGACTTGCCCTGTAAAAATTGACACAAGGCACAAAAATTAAATCAGAGTTTGACAAGGTAAATCTTTGCTCTTAACACTGAGCATTTACCTGTCTCCTCTGTATTTCAGGTATTGAGAGGTAGGACAGGTCGTTGCTCTGCTAAATCCCATACTAAGTCATTTCAGTAGGAACTGCCTGTCTTTGTCCCTCTTGCTTCTTTCCCAGAATCTCTGAACAGCAAAAAAAGATGAAGGCTGTTTACAGAAACTTTTGGTTTTGCTATGGGAGAAATATTCCCTTAGCAACCAGACATCAAAATGGACAGAGGTGTTGGAAGGAGTCAGTGAGTATCCTAAGCAGCACCACCGTGTGTGGTATGTGGCACTTCTGCTGTAGGTGAAATTGTCCTGTGCTGGGTGGATGGAAATTGTATAACCCTCAGCACACCAACATAGCTTTTATTGCAGCATTTTTTGGTAATACACCTCAAGCAAAATGCTGTTTTTTATTCCTTTGCCCTTTTGACCCCAATTTGCATTGCCCCAGGTGTTGCCTTTAGACAGGGCTGGTCTCCTGCCACCCTTACCCAGACTAAATGGGAGATGTTCTCTTGTTACACATCCTGGCATGACAGATCCACACATTTGTCATTAGGCAGCAGGGGCCCCATCAGCTTCCATCATCTGCAGCTTTCTTGGTTTTCTGGATGCTGCTTTCATGTCTGTCTTTCACACAGCTCTAATAAACACTTTCTGAAGTGGGCCAGCACTATCCTACAGTGTTGCAACTTTACAGCTATCGGTCCTGGATTGCTCAAAGCTCATGCACAGACATGATGGAAGTGGATTGCCAGGGCACTGCTGGTGACCAGGTTCATGGGGAGGTCTGTGTGCTTCCCAAATTACTTTCTGTATATGGGACCTTAGTAATTGTCCCCGTTCTGGTCTGGGACTTTATCAATGGAAAATGAAAAAAATGATCCCAGCTTCATCTTGCAAGGGAGACTCATTGCAGTCCTCTGCATAGGTAGTACCTACAGAATAAACAAAGTTTATTTTACTGGAAAGACTCTCTGGGGCCAAAGTTGGCTCTTGGCCTGCTGATAGGTTTGTGATTGATAGGCAATAACAATAGCAAATGTGTGTGAGAGCTGCAGCTCTGCCTAATGCAAGAGGAGTTATTCCTTGGTCAGGATGTAATTGTCCATTTCCAATTGACTGCTGGTGGGCTGGAGTTCTTTTTCCTCTGGGCTTTCTGTAGTGACAAACAGGCATTGACAAATGGCTTGTTGGAATGATTCTTACACTGCCTTGTGAAACCTCACTGGAATGTGGTTTGAGCAGCTTGGTGCCCTGTGTAGCCTGGTTAAGATGAGCAATGTGGCATCTTCTGAAAGGCCCTTGTCTGCTGCTGTAGCAGAGCATTGTCTGTTGGCACCTGTATTAATGCCAAGAGTCCAGGTGGGAAGCAGAGGTTGAAATAAAAATATCTGGGACCAACTCCCTGCTTCCTCTATCTTCACCATGTGGTATTAATGATGCTGGCTTTGTGTAAAGATTTATGTGAAGGAGACACCTCTCTCTCTCTCTTCAAGGCTGGTGTTTTGGTTGAGAAGAGAGGCTGCTTGCTGAGTGACTGGGATTTTCCCACACTAGTGTTTTTATTAGCCTGGAATATATTTCAGATTATGCTGGGTGACATGAGTTTGTTTGTTTGCTTTACTTTTTATTTCTAGTATTTCTGGTCTAATGCCTGCCTTTCATTTTTTGCTTTCCAGGGTCCATCACTTAAGCAGTTTATGGATATTTTTTCTCTTCCTGAGATGACACTGCTCTCTTCAGTCATTGATTACTTCATCACTCATGGCATTGAGTTTGACCAGGTGCATCTCTACAAAGACATATCTGTAAGTGAAATGTCAACTGCCCCACAACTCAGCTCACAGCTCCGATGTGGTGTCTGCAGCACCCAAACCCAAGGGGTTTGCAGTGACCTGCCTGATATGACAGCTCTGTTGTCCCTTTAGATCAAAGCATTACCAGGGAATATTCAAAGCTGTGTTTTCAGAACATGTTTGGGTTCTGTCTGTACTACAGAGCTGGTGTTTCTGGTGTATCTCGTGTAGGAGTGCCGAAGCTGCTTAGGCTGAAGGTCCTTCCATGGGAAATATATCACAAAGCTTGTGTAAATGTTTTCTGGTTCTGCAGACTTTTAAATTGTTTTCCTTAATATCTCATTTGTCAAAGACAAAAGCTGTGTACCAAACAGTTTACTTTATACAGTGATTGTTGTAAAACACCTGTCCTGGCTTGTTCTGAGAATCCTGTACCCCTTGCAGCTGCAGAATAGTCTGATCCTTTGGGTGACTGTAGTCTGACCCAGTGGTGACTGTAGCTTTCATGTGTCATTTACTCCAAGGTGTTAAGTGGCACTTGAAAGGGCCGTGTGGGATTATCAGCATTGTTGGGGCTGTTTGACTTCTCAGTTAATGCTGTAGACAAGATGTAAGTGCTTGAGATCGCTGCTCTGGGTGACTTATGCTGACAGACAATGCATTTTCCTTATTGCACTCCTTTTTCCATGGAGAAGGGTTTTCACTGGTACCTTGTGGTTCACCCACTGGCTGTTCAGTTCTGGGAGGGAAATGGGGCTCCAAGGGGAAATGGGGCTCCATGTCTGTGCTGCTGCCTTGTGATAAGGATCCACCTGTCAGCTGTGTGTCCTGACCTTCTGTTGGTGCTTGATAGGAACGTGCCAGCCCATTTCCCACAAGACCTTAACATGTTTCAGGGGTTTGGGTGTTGGTTTTTCTCTTGGGTGGGGAAAATATGAAGAGGGGATACAGCTGACTCCTGAGGCCTTTTCTGAAGAGTATTTTCTGAACCTCCTTTTGAGATCAAATGGATGTGTTTCTAATTGAAATCTTGAGAGCAGGGGGATGGTTGCCACAGCTGATACATGTCTAATGCAGGGCAACTGGTATGGCCCAGCCCTCAGACTCCTGAGTGCTAATCCTGGCTTTGTCCTTTAGGTGGAGAATGTGGTAATCCCTGAGGAACAACTAAAGTAGGCAAAGAAGAGAGCTATGGCAGAAAATCTGTGGCAGTGCCTGTAATCTATATTGAAACTAGGGACCATCATGTGCTCTCACCAGAAGAGTTCTTGCTTTTTTCCTGTACAGTGAGGCTAAACAAACATTTTTGCAAAACTTATCCATTTGCAGTAACCAAGTTCAAGTGCAAAGAAATGCTTTGTGAACAGGAGCACAGAGATCCTTCTGTGCCTGCAGAGGACTTGCATAGCCCAGCTGTTAGGACAGCACTGGCTTAGCCTGACACCCTGCTGTAGCTCTGGGTGGTACTGCTGATGCAGCCTGTGTGTTTGGGAGCAGGCTAAGTGCTACAGGCACTGCACTGAGTCAAAAGGGCAGACCCTGGCGTATGGTAAAGGCTGAAGCTGACATGTAATTAAAGTAGTCCTGTCACACCAGTTTGGTCACTTCATATTTGAGAGTAAGAATGTACAGTTTACCCTGCTTCCCCTTGGAGGCATTTTTTTTCAGCCCCGTTTGATGCCTAACAAGTCTCCAAGATTTTACCTGCAGAAACATTATAGTTTTCCTTTTTCTTTTCTTCTTCTTTTGTTTTTTGGAGGGCAGGAGTTTAGGGAAAGAGCACACTGAAATTTTTCTTTTCTGTAAAGGTAGTTTTGACACAAGTCCAAAGTTCTGCTTGCTTTTAGTGACAGTGCTAGTTAGGAGAAAGCTGTTTTCTTGTCAGAGCCCCTGCCCTCTTTTCAGATTCCTTCCAATAAGGCAATGAGATGTGACCTCTGCCTTATTGCCCTTCAAATCCACATGGTGAAAAGAAGCTCTTAAAACTCCATTTTGAAGTGGTTATGCCTCCACTTTCATCATTCCCTTTTAAGTTGTAAATTGTGGTTCCCTCCAGCTCTGAAGGAAATTTTTTTGGGGTCATGAGGAGGTTTCCCCAGCACTGCCATGAGACCAGTGGACTGTGTGGCAAGTGTTACTGTAGTGATGTCAGTGGTGAGTGTGGGACTCAGTCTGAAAGGGCAGCTCCTGAAGGGGCACACACAGTGTAAGAGGAATTTAAGGGTCCTGGGGAAAGGCAGCAATTGTTTACCTGTGTGAATTGTCAGGGATGAAAATGGTGCTGTTCAAACAAGCATTTGCGTGTGAAAACACTGCAAACTGTGTTGTTGCTCTGGAAATGGTTTTGTGGCTCTGGCATATCTTGCTGGATGGAGACTTGTGCAGAATCTCAGTTGGGTGTGTCTAAAAATGTGCTATATCTTGGCTTCTGGCCTGGAAAATAGAGGATATTTGGATGCCCGACATCTGTTTTAACTTGCTTCCCTCCCAGCTGTGTTTTGTGCCACCCTGCTAGTGGGAGCTTCTGCTCTGCCTGTGTACACTGATCACCCAGGGCTAGGAGCTGTGGCCCTCCTTAGCTTGTGGGGAGCACCTGGGATCACAGGTGCTCTCCTCTGCTGCTGTTCACCCTGGCCACATTCCTGTCCTTTGGGTCACAGCTGGCAGAGCTTCCATAGGCACCGGGGGAAGAAAAGCCACCTGGTGTCTGAGACAGCACAGTGTTGGGACGGTAAATGGTTTTGGAGTGGCACAGTCTTTATTGCCTTGAAACCAGTGGGGTAGCATGTGCTCATTTCCAAGAGCAGGAAGGAACTTGTGCTTCCACAGATAAGTTTTGAGGTTTTCCCTCTTACACTGCATCAGCTGAGCCAGCCACCCTGTTCTTCTTTAGGCATCTTGGTGAGCCTTGCTGAGCAGGCTCTGCTGCTTTGCAGTGATGGAGCTTTTGTTCATTCACCAAGGAGGGGATGTACCTTTACTGCCTTGGTCCTCAGTGGTGGCAGTAGGTTTGCATGCTGGGAGACAGGAATGCTATGTTGTAAAACTGAAACATTTTCCCTTCTGCTCTTTTCTTTAGGATGCAATTAGAGATGTTCATGTGAAAGGAGTGATGTACAAATGGATTGAAAAAGATATGGGTGAGTTAAATAGAGCTCTGGTGCCAAATTCACTTGTCACTTCCTCAGTCTTTCTCTTTAGGTAGAATTGATGGGGATGAGGAAGGCCACTTTGTCACCATGGTGGTTCATTGCCTGCCTGCCTGAGGTGGATCTAACTCTGACCTTTTGCATCTTTAGTGGTACAGGGGCTAGGTTTGGTTTGGTTTATAGAAATGTGGTCATGACTTATGCCAAAGTATTCTGATTGATGCTGTGTGTTTCATTCTGATACAGAACAGTATATTCTGCATGGGGATGAAATCTATGCCGTGCTAAACCGCCTGGTGAACCACAAGAAGAAGCTGTTCCTCATCACAAACAGTCCCTTTAGCTTTGTGTGAGTACCGTTACTGCTCATCAGTGGGTCACCATGGCACAGCAAGAGCTGTGCAGGGCTGTGCAGCTCCCTCCTCTGAGCACCTGGAATTTGTATGGGACAGGATTTTGTGGTGGTAGTCATGGAGCTCTCTGGGAACTGTTTGTGGTGAATGTTGCACCCACAGCATTGATCTCACTTTTTGGAGAAGTTACAAGGCTGTGGCTGGCCACAACATTAGAGAGCTGACACTTTCTGTTGCCTTTAGCAGTGTTTACTGTATCACAGACTTCCCTGGGCTTCCAGTCGTGCAGAAGAAAGTGTGTGACAGCTTGAAACAAAGCACAGCATCAATACTTCATGCAATGAGAGCCTTAGAGGGTTCGCAAATCTATTTTCTTCTCAGTTACTGAAATAAGAGTGAATTTAGAGCATACTGTTGTAAAGATGCAGTGTTGGGTGAAAAAAGAGTACTGGATCTGTTAATTTTTCTGCTCCTTTGCCCTTAGGGACAAAGGAATGAAACACATGGTTGGCAAGAACTGGCGGGACTTATTCGACATGGTCATTGTGCAAGCGGACAAGCCCAACTTCTTCACTGACCGGCGGAAGTACGTGTGCAGGGCAGCCCTGCCTGGGGCTTGGGCCCCCTCCCTGCAGGGAACTGCTCCTCTGGCCTGCCAGAAAGCAGTGGTTTGCTAAGCATAGTCTGGCTCCAGGAGGTATTCAGCCTCTCACATGGTCTCCAAGGAGGCAAGAATTGACCACTCTGGAAATAAGTGGATAGAATGTCTAAAGCCAAGCAAAAAACGTGTTTCTAAAATTGGCATGAGAGATGGCCATTTCTTGTCCTGAGAGTGTGACAAAATCTTTCCTTTTCCTCTTCCACACAGCAAGTATCTGTGTGGTTTGTTTTTTGAGGTTTTTTGGGATCTTGTTTGTATTGGATACATGTTTGGGAACTGGCAGTTCTGGAAGCCTTTGTATGTGGCAGCTGAGTTTTTTGGGAGCTGCCAATAGACAGGCTGCTGTCCTTACTTTGCTCTTTTGGCTTCTTTGCTTTGGGTACTTGTGTCTGCTTAGTTAGGGGATTGGTCTAATTCTTTCGTATGTATTTTCCTTCCCCACTACCCAGACCGTTGGCATATGATGAACTAAACCTATGGAATGGCATTATAAGCTGTGCTGGCCTGGTAAAGGTTTTATTCACAGGCTGCAGGTGTTACAACCACAGCTTGGAGCTATGATGATCTGGCCCTCTTGGAAATAAAACCTACAGCTGCCTGGTGCCTTAGATCCACTCATGGAGTGGAGAATGTCATGGCAAGCCCTCAGGAAAACCAGGAGACAGCTAAGTTCACCTGGTGAACTCAGCATGGGGACTGCTTTCCATTCTCTCTGCAGACTTGTTTTACCCTATTAGGACATTCCATGGTCTCTGCTGGGCTGGGGCATAGCCAGTTGGAAGAGCACACAAAGTGTTACATGGCAAAGCCTTCTTGGCCTTGGCATTTCAGAAGGAGTTATTATGGTTATTTTCTTCCTCTCTGTATGTGAAAGCAAGAAGAATTGTTAGGGACATGAAATGGTTATAGTCAATGGAAGCATTTTGGAAAGGTATTTCCCTTTCATACTTTCTCTTCCCCTGAGAAAATAGTGCAGAAGGCCCAGAAGGTCACTTAGAACTCATATAGAGCTTTTATTTTAAGTTGTCACATAGGTAAACAAGTTTGTGATTCAAATGTTCTGGTTGCTGGGTAACAATCACCAAAAATCAAAAGAAGTTGACATCTCCCCTTGTTTTTTCCCAGACCTTTTCGAAAACTGGATGATAAAGGCTCACTACAGTGGGACAAAATAAACCAGCTGGAGAAGGGAAAGATCTACAAAGAGGTAACATGAATGGGGGCAAGTAGGACCCTGAAATGGTGGGGACTTATAACACACCTGCAGTTTTGGAAATCACTGGAAAATCAGGACAATCTCCTTGGTCAGGGTGAGGGGAAATGAAGGGTTCTGCTGTAGGACACTTGTTCATGGTTGGTGTTTGAAAGGTAAAACACAGAAGTCCTTGAAAAGAGTATCTGTGTAGGTAGAGGGTGTTTGTAAGAAGACACGCTCTGGGCTGTGCTGGCTGTGGGCAGTGGGAGGTGCCCTCTGTCCCCAGGAGCTCTCACTGGCCTGGTAGGACATTGTCCCCCAGAATGCTTTCAGCATGGGCTTGGCACTAGGGATGGAAGGACAGAGACAAGTGGGAAAAGGCAGAGCAGGGCCAGGTAACTTAAGGTGTGGGGTACTTGCTTTTCTGCCCAAGGGAACCTGTGCTGAGCTACCTCTGCCAGGCTGGGTTGTCCCTGCTGCTGCCCTGTTTGCGTGAGATGGGGTGGTAGGGAAACATCTCCTGGATGTGTGGGAGGGGCCAGTGAACGTCCCCTGCCCCCGCGTACAATGAAACCTCCACCCTGGAAGCTCTGCTCTGACATTATCCAGCATGGCCAATTGTGCACTTTTCCCTCAGCTCTTCTGATTGTCCTGGTCCTGAAACTCTTGTCCTGGAGGGGCTTCCAAGTATAGTAGTTGAGGCTAAAAAGGCACAACTCTCTGAAACCTGTTGTGCATGCAAAGATGATCCACTCCTCACTCCAAATTGTTCTCCATGAGGTTGGAAAAGGTGGACTTGTGTAGAATAAAGAAATAAGGAATAAAGAAACAAAGGTGATCCAATAGGGTAGAAAGCATCAAAGAGAGTCCAAAGCCTGGCTCCTGACTCTCCCCTTCTGGAAGGACCAGCATGTCCAAAGATGAGCAGCAGCTTTGGTGAACTTGCTGCCCTGGGTGTTGTCCTTGCAGCTGGTCTGTCCCCTGAGACAAGTTGCCTCTGGCTTTAAGACGGTTTGTTCTTGCTGATTTGAGCTGTCCAATCCCACGGGAAGCAACTGTTAGTGAGATTTCAGTCAATTAGCGGGACCTGACCCGTTGTAGCAAAGTAGGTCATGTCCTTGAGTAGTGCTGTTGGGAAACCTCTGTCTGGTGGGTCTGCCAAAGTGCTGGGCTGGTGTCCCATCCTCTGCCAAGAGCTTGGAGCTGGGAACATGCAAGTAGAGCTCATTCCCAGTGGGTTAGCAGCTCCCTCAGGAGGAAGGGCACACCTCACCCATGGAGTTCATTGCTACATTAAATCCTGCTCTTGACCCACCTATGTCTTGTGGCCACAAGTTGCTCACCCAAGTGAATGTTGCACTGAGAAAGGGAAAATATGGGGGAGGAAGGTGGGCTGAGTAGGATTTTGGGCTCCTCTCCAGTTCTTCCCCTCTATCATGTTTATCTGACTGCATGTTGCCTAGCTGTGGTTCTTAGGGTGTGACAGTGTGTATCCTGGTTGCAGCCCACTCTGTCTCCAGGATTTTTGGTTCCTTGGAGTGTCACAATGTGCCACTTCTTTCTGGCAGGTGTTACTGGCCATGGACCTTGCTGTGCAGGGGATGTTGCCAGAGGCCTCTGATCTGTTCCTGTCCCCTGAAGCAGGGTTGGATGGTAGTTTTTTCCTGTGGGTATCCCATGAGTGGGACCTCAGGGATTGGTGTTTTGCCCTAGGGACTGGGAAGTTGAAGTGATGCCCTCTAGTCCCTCTGTTCCAACAGATGTGGTGTTTTCTGTATGTGCCAAGTTTGTACTCCCTTCCCTCTCCAGATCTGTGATCTTGGGGGAAAGGACAGGACCTGGAGATCTCAGAACAGGTCTGTGGCTCCATGGAGCTCCAAGAATAAGTTTCCTGGCTGTCAGGTCCATTGCTGTTTGAGGTGACTGGAGCACAGCAAGAGGACTCTGCTCCTTCCAAGGCTGTGCTCCATTTCCTTCTCTGCCAATGGCTTCCTGAGCAGGCCTCATGAGAGCAGCAGCGATGTTGTGTCCAAGAAGTGCAGAGGCTGCCTGGTCCTGTTTCTGTGCTGTTAAGGGAAGTCTGCTCAGCTCCAGGGATGCTGCAGGAACAGAAGACCCAGAACCCTGGTCCTGGGCAGCCTTAGCTGTGCATTCAGCAAGATGCCAGTGGCTGCTGGGGGTCTGCCTTGTGTTTGGGGGCTTTCTGGCCAGGCTGGTGCTGGTGGTTGGGGGTGCTGGCTTCCTCCTGCCACTGGAGACTGGCCAGAGGGATTGCTGCTCAGTGGCTCATGGGTTCACACTGACTGCTTGTGCTGGTCTGCTGGCATTGATGGGGCCATTTCTTTTCCTAGTGGGTTTTGTTTTCATGACTCACGTGGAAAACTTGTGTGGAGATGGAAGGGTAGTCCCTGAAGTGCCTTCTGTGCATGTGTGGATGTTTGGAAAGCCTTGAAAGTTGCTTGGTGCTGTGCTTTAGCTGGTGCTTTGGGGTTTGGTTTGTTTTACTCAGCTGTGAATCTGTGCGGGCTGCCTGGCTCTTTGGCTTGGTTAAACAATTCCTGTGGACATGTGGGTGTTGTTAATCTTTGGGGTTGGGATGGTGGTCAGGGGTGTAGAACAGCTCCTGACTCCAGAAGCCTTGCCTGGCAGTGCTCACCTTCCCTCTGGTGCACTCTGTGAGGTGAAATCATTATCACCTGAGACCAACAACTTCTAAACACAGAACCTCTGGGGTTCTTTCTGCCCATCCTCAGGCTTTTCTAATTTAGGAGTCTCCTGACCTCTAAACTGCCTCCTTTTGTTGCCTTTTTAGACCATTTTGTCTTCTTGACTTGCTGTGCCTTAGACCACAGAACTTCCCCTGAATTCCCTGTTTGCAAAAACTCATTGGAAGAGTTTTTGCCTTTTTCTCTAGCTTTAAAAAAGCTGAGGGATGTATAGGGGATTGTCACAAGGGAAGAAAGTGAAGTGAGGTGGGGAAGGACAGAAAGCTCTGGGTGTAGATGGTGGGGCACTCCCATGAGAGTGCTCACACCTGCATGTGGTAAGGTGGCCTGTACCCACATTTCACTCTGTGCTCCTGTCACTTGCAGGGCAACCTCTTTGATTTTCTGAGGCTGACAGGCTGGCGTGGATCCAAAGTGCTCTACTTTGGTGACCATCTGTACAGTGACCTTGCGGTGAGTGAACTGCCTCTGCTCTCCAGTGAGGTGGGAGCAGTCCCACACGGCTGCTGGGGCTGGAGATAAGGCAGGGCCTGCTCCGAGTGCTCAGGGCTGTGCTGGGCGCCCCCTCGCCCCCAACACAGGCTTCAGTTGTGTCCCCACTGCTGTCTGACAGAAACAAGCACTGGAGAAAAGGCTCCTGAAGTACTTTCTGTGGGTAAAGTGTGAATTTGAGAGCAGTTTGTATTGATCCCACCTTTTTAGGTGCTTCATGCAACTGATCCTAGTGACCAGGAGATGGTTGTTGCTGGCACAGGCCATCGATGGCTGTCCCCTGAGAATGTGAAATGGGAACAAACCCACTCTTCTAGGAACCAGGGTTGTGTTTGGCTTTCAGTCTTTATGTTGAATTCTTGGTTGTTTTTTCACCCTGACCTCCAGGACCTCATGCTGCGTCATGGCTGGAGGACTGGAGCCATCGTTCCTGAACTGGAGACAGAGATCCGGATCATAAACACGGAGCAGTACATGCACTCCCTGACCTGGCAGCAGGCTTTGACAGGGCTGCTGGAGAGAATGCAGGTAAACAGCTCCTGGCTGAGCAGGACAGGTTATATGCTGCCTTCTGGGTCTGAATTTAGCATGGGGATGGGGGGATGTACCATCTTGCCTGGTTCTCAAAAATATCTCATCCCCCTCCTGGTGCAGTGGGCTCTGGGTTTGTGAGCTACAGAGGAAATTGCAGGGAGCTGAGGTATGGCCTGCAGGACTGACAGATGTGATGCTTTCTACTGCTGTCTTTGCAGATGTATCAGGATGCAGAGTCAAAGCAAGTATTGCTGGAGTGGATGAAGGAACGACAGGAGATCAGGTGAGCGCTTTCCCCCCTCACTTGTGAGGGCTCTTAGGGGCTTCCAGGCCTTGTTTTGTAACCTGCTTTGGGGACAATGCTGCTGCAGCTGCTGGTCTCTGGTGTCACTTGCCTCTGGGTGGGGGCCATGCAGCAGTGCAGTCCTGCAGCCTGGGAGGTTGGACTGGTTTGCAGACAGGGTGGGAAAGGAGAGTGCTGGGAGGGCCTGATGGGCTGTCTGCTACTGCAGCTCCCACAGCTTCTGACACTGCCCATAACAGGTGGAGAAAGAGTACACTGAATATTCATCAGTCTCACTGCACAGGGACTGGTCTGCACCACAGCCTCGGGAGGGCATACCTGATGCCCAGGGAGTGGAGTGACCCCGGGCTAAGGGAGTGGGAAGAATCTGTGACCACAGTTTTAGCTACAGAACACCATTTCTTTCTTCTCAGGTCTCTGACGAAGAACCTGTTCAACCCCCAGTTTGGAAGCATCTTCCGCACCTTCCACAACCCCACATACTTCTCCCGCCGGCTGGTGCGGTTCTCTGATATCTACATGGCTTCCATCAGCTGCCTGCTCAACTACGACGTGAATTTCACCTTCTACCCGCGGCGCACCCCTCTGCAGCACGAGGCTCCGCTCTGGATGGATCAGCTCTGCACGGGCTGCATGAAAACCCCCTTCCTGGAGGAGATGGTGCACATCCGGTGAAGGGCAGGTACTGCAGGCAGCAGCAGCACGGCCGGGGCTGGGCCGGCAGCACCTCTGTCTACCACTAAAGGGCGTTTGACACTTGCGTGTGTGTGTAGATGGTGTGTTTATTTTCTCCCTTCACTGGCTCCACCCTTTCCCTGAAGCGCATTGCAGGCTGCACAGGATGGGTGCTTGTGCAGGGAGTCCTCTTTAGGAGTAGGTGAGATGGAGGGGCCAATGCTGGTGGTGGGACACTGCCCCTCCCTGCTCTGTGCCCAGACACGTGGCTCAGGCACAGAGCTCCCCATCTCCAGTGCTTGGTGGCAACAACCCATGGCAGGTGTGACAAGGTGTGTCAGGTCTGTAGCTGCCCCCACAGCCTGGGACTGCAGCGTGAGTGACTGCAGATGGACAGGGAGGGTCAGGGCTGCCAGCTGGGCAACCACTCACGCCCATCAGTGAGTGCATCACATGCCAAAGCAGCAGCAGCGTTACCTGTCCAGCAGCCCTCAGCCCCATCCTGCTCCCCACCAGACCGGTCTGTGCAGCTGGGGACTCTGCTAGGTCACTGGGCAGGATGTGCAAGCCTTGGGTGTGGGAGTAGGTCACAGGGTCTCAAAGTTACTGTCTGGGGACATGGCTGCTTTTTGAGAAAGCTCAAGGCTGTGCACTGTTGGTATTTTGGAGTTTGGTGCCATGTGACATCAATACTTTGGCAATTGATGTGGTGTGGTCTGCTGTGAGCTGCAGAGGGATGTGTTCAGCCCTTCAGGGAAGGTGCAGGGCTGGCAGCAGAGGTGGTGACCTTCATCTGTGTTCACTGAGATGTGGCCTAAGGTGGCTGGAGGGGCACGTGAGGATGTCTGGGGAGGGGGTAGCGTGAAGTGCTGTGGGGAGCATGGCCAGACAAAGCTCTGTGGTGCCTCCTCAGCAGGAGGAAGAGCAAAGAGATGCTAATAGTGATGCCAGAGTCTATAGGATGGGACAAGGGTGACAGTCAGGAGGCCCAGGAAGGTGAGAGCTGGTTTAGGATGTGAGGTGCAGAGAGTGGGCTCTGCACCTGGCTCAGGGCCTTGCTGGTCCTGTACAGGCTTCAGATTGTCCCAGGGCCACACAGGGAGCTGGGAGGGGTAGAGGGCAGGTGAGGTGGAAAGAGGGTGTTGGAAGTTTGTGTCACTGTGATACTGGCCCTCAGAGCCAGGAGCTCATGCCCTCAGAAAGCTGGATGGTGTGTGGGAAGTGATGGCTATAGGATGGAGGGGCAGGAATACTGATTGCCTTGGTCCTCCTTCTCCTCCCCTCACTGCTGCATAGTTTGCAGACAGCAAAAGGGTGACAGTGCCAGCTTGCTCAGGGGCAGTCAGTGTGACAGGGAGGAGAGAGGGGACAGAGAAAGGAGGGCCTGGCAGTGAGCAGGCACAGAGGAGGTGAATGAGTGACTGCAGAATGGGTAAGGGAGCTGGGCACCAGGGTGTGTGAGCACTGGGCCGTGGTGATGGCTGTAGGGGCTGTGCCTGTCAGTGTGGGGGCAGCTGAGGAAGAGGAACCAGAGTGGTGTGGAGGACCCTGTGCCAGGATCTGTGACTCGGAGAAAGGTGCTGCGTGTGTCAGCAACCCTCAGAGAGTCACACACACACACACACACTCACTCTTCTCCTACCTGTTCCTCCCCAGTGCTGTGCCAGGCTGGCCTGTCAGTCTGTCACTTGTGTGTCACTGCCTTGTCTTTGTGCCATGTGCCAGCCTGTTGCACACTTTCAAGATGCCTTGTGCTCAACTCAGTGGCTTGGACAATTTGTTAACGTGGCTGCTCTAATCAAACACCTGCTGTAGGTGCATGTGGCACTTGTCTTTGTGCTGTGTGTAGTGTGTAGCTCAATAAACGTCTGCAGCATGTGTAACTAACTGACTAACCCGCTCACTGCGCGCCGCGGGGCACGACCAAGGGCAGCCTGGGCTGAAGAGCGAGGCTGGGCCGTTCGGCACGGAGCGTTACACGGAACGGAGAGGGTGTTTGGGGTGGTGACTGACGAGACTCGTACCTGACCACGGGGCACTGTGAGGGCACAGCAGCGAGGCCCGGCGGGCCGGGGGATGCTGCACGTGAACACGGAGGGCCGTTCGTCCCTGGGAGCGGCTGAACTGGGCTCTGGGTGCTGGAGGCTTGGGCGGGCACCACCTCCTACGGGGCCATGACAGGCGTGGGTGGGGGCACGAGGGGCTGGAGCTCCCACCTGCTGGGGGCGGCCGGTACCGGCGGGGCGGGCGGTGGGAGGCCGGGGCGGCGAGGCAGGAGCGGCACAGCCGGTGGCGCTGAGCTGTTTATTTCCCCGCGGTCCGCTCGGGGCCGCGCGGGGTCACTGCGGGAACCCGAGGGGGTCGGTGCCGGTGTCCGCCAGGGGCGGGTCCTGCGGGGCAGAGAGCGCGGCGTCAGCGCGGGGCGGAGGGGGCTCGGTCTCGGGGCGGGGCGTGGCTCACGTGCAGCGGTTCGTAGTCGGGGGCGTGGCCGCCGTAGAGCGGGTTGGGGATGGCCACGAGCGGGCGCTGCGGGCGGGGCCTGGCGGTGCGCGGGCCCGCGCGCTCCGGCCGGGGCTGCGCCTCATCATCCTCCTGCTCCTCGTCCCCGCGGAGATCGGCCTGCAGCGGGAGCGGCGGGTGGCGGCGCTGCGGCACCGGCCCGGGGATCCGGGGAAAGCCCCGCCCACCCCCTGCCCGTTGTCGCCCACGGGCTCCCCCTGGCGGTCCGCTCTCTCACGCGCAGCCACCCGCACCCCGCACCGGGACCCCGCACTCGGCACCGGGACCCCGCACCTGCCCCGGCCGATCCGCCCGATCCCCCGGCTCCATCCACCGCCCTCATCCCCCGACCCGCTCCCAGCTCTCCCGTACCTGATAGTACCCGAACTGCCCCAGCTGCCGCCGCCTCCTCACGCAGTAGTAGGCGACGCCGGCACCAGCAACCAGCGCCAGCGCGAAGCCCAGCGCTGACAACGTCCCGGTGGCCACGGAGCCCGGCCCCTGCGCCGCACCGTTCACCTGTGCCGAAACAGCGGCCCCCTCACGGCGCAGCCATGGCACCGCCCGGACTGCTGCTCCGCAGTGGGGCCCTGGGCAGCCCTCCCAAAATGAGCCGTGCCAGAGAGCAGAGGACAAGGCCAGTTCTTGGGGTGACTCTGTCACATCATCCCCAGCCCCAGGCCTGATGCCAGCCCTGTTCAGGCCCCAGACTCACCTGGCCAACGTGCACAAGGGGCGGTGGGATCCTCAGTGGCTCTGCTATCACGTGAATGATGCCATTGAAAGCTATGATGTCCCACTCCACAATCATCGTGTCATTGATCCCCTTGGCGTCCTACAGCACAGGACACAGATGATGTCACCTGCCCAGAAAGGCTCCCCATCATTCCCTGTCTCAAAAGAGATGTGGTGACAACTTGTGCTGTTTTTTGTCCTCTGCCAAGGCTAAACCTACTGAGTGCTTTGAACTGTTGCTTGCTGGGAGGTCTGATACATGGAGGTCGTATCCTGACTGGGACGGGATGATGGTGCCCGTTGTGAGGTTGAAGCTGAAGAGGATGACATTGCTGGATGACACGTGGAGCTTCAGTTCTTCTCCTGTCAGTGTCTGAATAAGCACCAGTGCACAGGGGTGAGAAATGGATCAGCTGGTCTCTCCCTTTCCCTGCTACTGTGCAGCCCCCAGCCAAGCTCAGGCTCTCTCCATGGCCACAGACAGCTCCATTCACAGACAGCACAGCACAGAGTGTGCAGAGCAGAGGGGATCTGCCACCCTTAGGATTGTCAAAGCTCAGCTGTAGAAGGCTCTGAGCATCCTGACCTAAATGGCTTTTCTGAGGGAATGGTTGGACTGGAGACCTCCAATCACTGGTCCTCTCTGACCCACATTCCTCCCCCTTCCCCAGGCTATTTCACACTGTCATGCCAGCTTTGGTGACAGCTGCTCTCCTCCGGGGCTCTGATAGTTCATCCCTGCTTGCTTACCTCATTGTCTGCAAAGCCAGAATTCAGAGGGGCAAAGAGAGTTTTGGGAGCAGAGATATCAGACAAATACATGAAAAAATCCAGTCCTTCTTCTGTGCCATTGGCAAAATTGAGCAACATCTGGAAGACATGGGAGATCTTCCCCATCAGCACATTGCTGACAGCACAATGCCATCCCCTTCCCCAGCCCAGGAACCCCCCAGCCCTGGAAAGAAACCCCCTCTGTAGCCTCTACCCTGCAGAAATACCAAACCCCAGCTCCTCCCTGTCCCAGCTGATCCCTCCCTCTGCCTTGCTGCTCCTGCAGCACCAGGAGAGCGTCGCTTACGGAATAGAAGGTGGAGAAGCGGTCCTGGTCTGCGAGCACGTCGGGCAGCTTCCCACTGCACCAGTACCCATCTCCCACAAACCCATCACGGCAGCTGCAGGTCACATCTGCAAAGGAACACCAGGCTGTGACTGGACTCACCAGTCCTGGCTGCACCAAGCACCTTTGGATTTCTGGATATTCTCATCACGTTCCCTCTGGACATGGGCATGGGGAGAGGGGTGTGCCTGCCTGTCCTCAGGCTCCAGGGCAGTTCCCTGCCTGCTGCCCTGACACAGCCCTTGTGCCCAGCAGCACTGTCCCCAGGGAAAGTCCTCACCCTTCTCCCGGTAGCAGAATGCGTCCCAGGTCTCGCTCAGGTTGCTTCGGGAGCCGTAGTCCACAATGCCCACACGGCTGGATCCACAGCTGGGGTTGGGGTAGGCTGTGGGGTATCCAGCTGTGCCATTGTCCAGCCAACCCACCAAGCACAGATGGAATCCCATCTAGAAGAGGAAAATCAATGATTAGATTAAAAATAGCTCTGTCCCAGGTTTTCTGCCCCAATGAACATTCCTATTGTGCCTCACCCACCATACCCCCAACACCCAAAGTGTTGGGCATGGTCACAAGTCCCATCCCAGTGTGCCTGGCAAGACCCACCAGCCCTCCTGTTTCATGGATATAGATGGAGCAAACAGGGCCTGGCTGAGGGGTTGAGAGGTCTCCCACCCACCCACATGTCACCCCTGGGCTGGCCCAGGCCCTGGGAGATGCATGGCCTGTCCCAGCCC